GAGTAGCTGGGATCACAGGTGTGTGTCACCACACCTGGCTAATTTTTTAAAAAAATTGTACTTACTTCCTTCTTTTTTTTTTTTTTTTTTTTTGAGATGGGGTCTCGCTCTGTCCCTCAGGCTGGAGTGCAGTGGCGCGATCTTGGCTCACTGGAACCTCCGCCTCCTGTGTTCAAGCAATTCTCCTGCCTCAGCTTTCCAAGTAGCTGGGATTACAGGTGCCCGCCACCATGCCCAGCTAATTTTTTTCTGTATTTTTAATAAGGACGGGGTTTCTGCATGTTGGCCAGGTTCATCTCAAACTCCTGAACTCAAGCAATCCACCCACTGTGGCCTCCCAAAGTGCTGGGATTATAGACGTGAGACACCGCGCAAGGCCGGGAACTGCATTCAATCGTGTGGAAGTTTGGAAGCTCATACAGCCTCTGAGTAGTTAGTATGATTGGACTAGAGGGTGAGATGAGGGACATGGCAAGAAGTGAAGCCAGGGAGGAGGACAGGACCTATGGGCAGGGCCTACATCCTAGAGGGTGTTGAAGTTAGGCGAAGGGTGCACGGGAGCCAGAGCAGGGCTTTGAGCAGGGGAGGGATGTGGCCACTTGTAGCAAGGAGATGTAGCAGTTGCATCACTGGGGGCTGTATTTGTCAGGATGCTTTTGACTGCAAGTAACAGGAACCCAATTCAATGAGGTTTAAACGTCGAAGAAAATGTGTTATCTTCCAGAACATCTTGAGGCAGCATGGCTCCAGGGAAGATTAATTTAGGGGCTCATGGTATCATCGAAAACTCAGGTCTCTCCATCTTTCTGCTTCACCATCTTCAATGTGTGGACCCCAACCTTTATGGTCAAAAAGTAGGCCGGGCACAGTGGCTCACGCCTGTAATCCCAGCACTTTTGGAGGCCAAGGCCGGCAGAGCACCTGAGGTCAGGAGTTCAAGACCAGTCTGGCCAATATGGCGAAACCCCATCTCTACTAAAAATACAAAAATTAGCTGGGTGTGGTGGTACGCACCTATAATCCCAGCTACTTGGGAGGTTGAGGCAGGAGAATTGCTTGAACCTGGGAGGCAGAGGTTGCAGTGAGCAAATATTGCACCACTGCACTCCAGCCTGGGCGACAGAGCGAGACTCTGTCTCAAAAAAAAAAAAAAAAGAAGAAAAAGTAGCTGTCGTTGTGCTAGTACCAAGCTCCCTCCTAGCAACTTTGAAAGATGAAAGGAGGAGAAAAGGAAGGCAGTGTTTTTTTCATCACATCTCATTGGCCAGAACTGTATTGTTTGCCCCTTTCTAAACCAATCCCAAGCAAGAAGGATGGAATGATCATGATTAGATTTGACCAATCAAGGTTCTCCCTCTAAGCTGGGGAGAAGCTGAGCCTCTAGGACTCAGGGTTCTCTTAGCAAAGGAAAAAGAGGGGAGATGGTTTTTGGCTGTCAAGTAGGCTGTGACATGTCCCACTTCCGCTGCCCTTTGAGACACAATCCAATAGTCAGTCGTGGGGTAAGTCGTTGCTGCAGTGATAAGTCATTTGAGTCCTAGTCCCCAAAAGTCAGACCTAGGTTTGCTTCTTCCAAAAAAACCTGGCCCTGCTTTCTTTCAACATTGCTTCTATTCCAACCCTAATAGGGTTTGTAACTCCCTCTCTCTTTTGCCCCCGTTTGCTTTGAATACTATCTGAGCCTCAGAGGCATCTCCTGCGACAGAAATAGCTTCTTATCTGGTTCTTCCAGGGAGGTGGGCCAAGAGTTCCTAACTCCTTCCTGGGCTGTCCACTCACAGGGCATGTTGGCTGGGCTTTGACTGCAGACGTCAGATAGCTAGCAAGCCAGATGGTCCTGGGAGCAGGTGTGGTTGAGAGCAGAGGAAGAGAGGCTGCAGAGGAAGAGAGGCTGCCCAAAGGCTAGCAGGCATCAGGCATCCATAGAGGCTATATCCTTGTTGGGAGAAGAGACACAAGGTCTTGGGAAAGTCATCTTTTTTTTTTTTTTTT